CACACACACACACACACACACACACACACACACACACACACACACACCATTTCCCAAAGATGCTTCTATTTTTCCCCACCCGACCCTTGCAACTATGGAGGGACTTATTGGGGGTTTGAGGAATAAAATCAGTAATCCAGCATACTGACCTTCTACCAAGGAAGTTAATAATGTCACATTAGCAGCTTTTCTTCTTCCAGCTGGAAGATTTAAACCGATTTTATCCAGCTTTTCTCGTAAAGATCGGCCCCCATTCTTGGATTTGGCTCTATGAATGAAAAGTGTGACAGGCGTTGAGGCATCAAGTAACAAAAGTAAAATGATAAAATTATCAAATTTCATTTAATGCATAGACTACTATAAACATCAATTTGGGTCTGCTTTCAAATGACCTCCTTTCTGTAACTGTGTCACTTTCCATACATTACAAAACCAAAATTTAGCAGAAACCAACATGTGTGTTCTTAAAGCTAGCAGTTATAGAACACAAAATCGAGAGAAAAACACATGAGTTTGACAATGAAGAAAAAAGCTGATGGGAGTTGACTTTTTAGACAATAGCCATGAAAACAACTTAGGGATAGAATGGGAGTCAGATTTTAACTAAATAATAACTTGCTTTTCGATGCATTTTAGCACTTTCTTCTACATTTAACACTTTTCAAAAGGGAAATATATGTTTAAAACTCTCCAGGTCTATTAGAATTCAGTGTTAGATTCAAAGTTACATAAATGTTAAAAATACTCTCCCAGACCTTTTATACAACAACACCCTACCACAGCTGGGTGTCCAGGATGAATACTACCCAAAAATGGTTTCCCCATACCTTCTCAACACACCACCCAATAGGGAGGCATTTAAGCATTCAGGAGAGGAAAGTCTTCGCTGGACCTCAGCTACAGTCACTTTATATTTGGATGTGGAGCTGAGGAGAGAAAGTCTTCCAGGTACAGAACAAAATACTTCATTATGATTAACCACTGCTCCTAACATCCCATCCTTCTGACAGGGGAGACCCAAGGAGTTGCTTTTGGTCATTGAAATAGGACCTGTTAAGAGCAAACAACAATTATCAAAACAATTACAGAAAGTGTTGGAGAAGATAGTATCTTCATGCCTAGTGCCTGGAACATAGTAGGTGCTTAAATGCTGGAGATGACAGATGATTGTGATTCTACTACCTTCATTTTATAAGTCACTACCGGGTTACTAAACAAAGTATGTATTGGGGTAGGAGTTGAGGGGGAAACTCTGGCCAAGGAAGCCAAGGTGTCTCAATTTCTAATACTGGTTCTACTACCAACGTGCTGGGTGACCTTTGTCAACCAGATTATTTTCACCATTCTGGACCTTAATTGTATCTCCAGCACTTAAAGGTTGCTGTCTGAGGCATATAGTAATAGCAGGTGCTTAATAATTGCATTTTTCAATAAAATGCAAAAGTTATAACAAGATAATTTAGAAAATTCCAATTTAGAGATTGAGTACCAGTCTTCGAATCTAAGTAAATGTCAGTAAGCAAAGCTGACAAATTCAAATTGGATAGAGTTGGCAAGAAATCTCTAGCAATATCCCAGGATCTGGTAGCCACCTTTAGTATCAGCAGTCTAAATCTTTTTTTTTAACTGCTTGTTACTTCTATTAAAATTAAGCTAATTTCCATATGTAACACTTTTCAAATTAGTTCCTAAAAGTATTGTGTGTAAGATGAAAAAACTAGGTACTGAAAGAGATAAAAATTTTTATCTGCCACAAAAACCTACCAACTTATAAGACTTTTACCCAGCAGGTTTAAAATTTTAAACATGCCAGGGGATAAGTTACTTTTTTTCTACTTGCAAGTATGAATAAAAGTCTTAGTCAAACTGAATTGAAAGTGACCTTGCTATTCTTAAATGGTAATAACTCATTTGTATTCAAATTAACCAGCAACATTTTAGCGTCTGGACAGTCATAATATAAGTTTCTGATGCAGATGCAGAGAGACAATACAATTGTATGTAACTCCCTGTCTCTCCTCTATAGGTTAGCCAGACTACTACTAGCACTGAGGCAGAGCTTAGCAATAGCCAGCCAGGCAATCGAATTTCCGCCACATTATTGTACAAACCACCCACAGCCAATTTTCATAAGTAATGTTCCACCAAAATTCCTTTCTCTAGTTCCTTCCAGATGCAGCGTTTGCTAGAGGGAAAAAGCAATCCCCACTACTGCATCCTGGGGTTAAAACACTTGTTCAGGTAGGAAAATAAAAACTGAAATTTCACCTAAACTTATAGGGCATCTTCCAAAACCTGCCTTCTTCCACTACAATCTGTTTACTTCTTGGGGCTTCTGCACTTAAATACATTGGTCTGTTTCCAACACAACACCTTTGAATGCCTGAGCCAATAGATGTAGAGGCCATTAACACTTTTTCATTCTCTAAGTCTGAAGGGATAGCTTTAGAGAAAGGTAGGGAAGGCTAGTTACAATTAACGCACCTTTCCTGATGACTGTCTGATCATGCAACAGCAAATGTTGGTCTTCCACATTCTAGGGGAAAGAGGAGACAGTTTCTATTTAGAAAAGTAAATAGAGCCAAGCTGAGGGACTTTAGAAAGGACAGTAGTGGCAATCCTGGCTCGGCCTAATCCAAACCTGCTCCCCCAGGTTCCCTCTTACAGCTGTCCCAGACTGCTCTCACCTGGACATCTTCCATTTGATGGGCCATGTCGTGTAAGCCCAGGTTTTCCACCAGTGCTGCATCTAGCCCGTGGCTGTGGGGCTGCAGGAGCAGCTCAGAACGTCTGTAGGTCTCCCTCCTTGTCCCTGGGCCACCGGCGTCCAGCCCGGAGAGGTGGGGGACAAGGCCAGGCCTCGTGTGGTGACTCAAGCCAGCTGGCTCCTGGTTTTGCCGGCTGGACCAGGCCTGTTGCTGACTGGCCGCCGGCGCAGGCTGGTGCAGGGGGTTGATGGAAAACGGGTCGCCCAGGTGGGAGTACGGGTCAGCAGACTGAGAATAGGGTAAGGGTTGGTAGGGCGGTGGGAAGTAAGGTGGCTGGAAGTCGGATGCCCCTGAATGTGAAAGCGGTGGAGCTGCGGGACTGTAGAGGTGCTGGCTGACTGCTGGGAGGTGGGGGAGGCGGGGGTTCCCATTGCTGTTCCCATCGTGCCTATCCTAGAAGAAAATTTGAGAGAGAATGGAGGGTAAGAAGGAAAACCCCGCTTCTGCGAAAACCCAGTTAGCCCGATCCTTCCCCAACTCAATACTCTCCCCTCCGATTCCAGTTCCACCTCTTGCTTCCCCCCTCCTCTTTTTTGTCCCTGATTAGAGTCGTAGCAGTCTAAGAGACCCCACCCCATTCACAAGGTAATCAATATGAAGTCGCAGGGCGCTTATATCCTAGGGAGCCAATTAATTCCCTTAAAAAGGGGGGGGGTAGCAGGGAATATTCAGAGGCTGCCCAAGGAAAAGACCACGGAGCTGGAGCATGGAGACGACAGGCAATAGGGGAATACAGTAACAACAGTAAGAACCTCTCGCAATCTCTGGTCAACCCTCCCCTAACTTGCGGCGCGTGACTTCTCCTCCCGGCATTGAACTCACTCCTTACACGGGCGGGAGACGAAGTTAGTTTTGATCGCAGCTACAAATTAAGTGAATAAGAAGTCCCCCCAAAAGAGCCAAAAACACCTCTTTCCTAGGCCCGCTGAAGGTTCCAAAGGTGCAAGACCCACCGCGCGGTTCTCCATGTCCTTCCTCAACCGCATGCGACTCCGGATCGCAAGTTAAGCAGGCAGTGCGTGGTAGCAGGCGGCGACGCGCAAGAAGGCGGGGAAGGCGCTTTTTCCTCCCCCCAGGACACCTTCTCGCGGTGACGAATTGGGTGGAGGGACATTTGGGTGGGAGAAAGGGTCGCGGTTGATTGTTCCCAGCCTACTTAAGCCTAGTCAACAAAAACCCGCCAGGATCGCGCAGATGCCGCCGGGCTGGAGAAGGAGGTGACAACCGCCACCGTAGCATTGTGCTTAGGAAGAGGCATTTAGGGTCAAGAGAGAAAAAGAATGCAACGCAATTGAGGCGGGTTTGCAGAAGAAAAAACCCCCTTGGTTCGGGGACAGAAACTAGAGATCTAATATTTTATTTTCCCGGGGTATTTAAACTAGCCCTTGGGTAAAGTAAAGGCCCAGGCTCAGCTACATGTGAACTTTTCGCGCTTCTATACTTGGGCCAGCGAGTCTTATCCCGAAGGCCAGGCAAGTAAACAGTTGGGACTCGGGAGCATTTGGGGATGGCTCAGCCTCCAGCCGTCTCAAGAAGCTATTTTCACAGACGGCGGAGGAAGAGCAAGCGTGGAGTTTCTCAGCTTTGGGGGTAGGGACTGCGGCACTCCATCCCTGATTCAGATGGTCACCATCCACCCCCAGTATTCCCAGCCCGAACCGTAGCTGCTGGATTGGATTGTCCTGAGGACCCTTTCCTTGATACCTTTGGGGCTATCAGTGGTCATAGGAGGAGGCTGGAAAGGAGGCATCCTCCCCCTAGCGGAGGGAAGCAAATCCTGCAGAAGATAGAGTAAGTCCAGTTACTCTGTCCCAACTTGCTGTCCCGGATCCCCGCTGCCCGTCCCACAATACTAACAAGACGTTCGGTCCGGTTTAGGCTTCTCTCTGAAGCTCAACGCAGCGCAGACCTCGCCTACCTCTGTACGTCGTCTTCCTCTTCCCGCTCGCCGGCTCCCTCCCTCTCCCTCCCACTCTGCGAAGCTCCTAGTTCAACCTGTCAAACAGGCTTTTTCACTCTAGGACGCTTACGGCCTCATCTGTCCTCCCCGCCCCCCCCCCAACCCCTTAAAGCTTAATCTTTTATGTTTTCTTGAATTCTGGATTAAATGTTGGCGAGGGCTCCTTAAAAGTGACAGTAAGGGAATTGGAGGTGTTAGCGACCCTTCTTTATTTAATTTCTTCTAGCATGTCTCCTGATATAAGCTACAGTTGGAGATAGCCATGAAAAAATGAAAGGTCCCCCCCACCTTCATATAAATTTAAGAGAATTTTCACTGTCACTTTCTTCTCTGATCCTTGGGTGGTGGTGGGTTAAAAGCAAGAATGCCCAGGAACGCGTTGAAGCATACGGGTGAAAACCACGAGCGCCTGGACTTTTAAGTGTGGCGATGGTCCATTAGTTGCAATTAGTTCACCCTCCCCTCCAGTTCATTCTCCCCTAGAAGCCCTTAATTTCCTCCCCCTATTCCTACCTTCCAAGTAGCCCATTCTCATACTCCTGACGCGCGGGGCTCGAACTCCTGGAGCCTCGTTTCCCTAATTTAAAATCCGCCCGCGGGCGCCGGGTTCCCCCATCCCCGCCCTGACTGCGCCTTTCTCACCTCGCAGTCCTCTTCGTACTTGACATTGTCGGCTAATTTCCACAACATGGCGTCCGGAGTACCCCAAAATAATCGCCAAGATCCAGGATCCCCCCACCCCCCAGGTGGTAAATCCAAAGTTGGGGTCACGGTCGCTGGTTCCCCGCCCCCCAGACTGACTGGGCTGGGCTCTCCGTCCCCTTCAGATGAACTGCATGGAAAGCTGCTTCGGGGAGGTACCCGATTTTTCTCTCCCTCTCTCTCTGGAATGGTCAAGGATCTCTGCCTGTTCCAGCACTTCCCCCCGCACCCAGCCAGCCTTAATGGGAAGGAAATTAACATAACTCCTCCCCCGGGACTGCACTGGAGGCCCAACTTTCTGAAGACACTTAGCCTAAGCGGCCAGTCACAGGGGCCCGACCGGGCGGGCCCCACCCAGAACTCCTCCCTCATTCTCTTTTCTCCAGCGCTGTGCGCTTCGGCCTGGCGTCGTGCCAAGACCCACGCACAGAACGGAGATAGAAGGGTGGAAAAGGGGTGTAAAGAGCGGAGCCAGCGCTGCGGAGTGCGCAAACAGCACTACGAGGGGAAAGACAAACGCTGAAATGCGCCTTTCTTAGCACTCCCGGCTCCTACCCAAGCATGCTTTATTGATTTTTGGGTGGGGTCGTAGTTTTTGTGAAGAAACTCGGGAGTAAAAGCAGGGTAGCTTGTTAAAAAGAGTGAAGTGGCCGAAAAACAGTCAGAGAGAGGAACATAGTGAGCGGACTGGTGGTTACTACAATTAGGCAGCCGGCCGTTTTGCAGGGAGCCAACCTTGCCTGATAACGGTAGGCAGATGCTCTAATGCATCATATCACCGCCAGCGTCTAATAAACAATTCACGTTTACATAACATTTTAAGATACTATTTCTTTCATTTCCAATGCAAGGAATGCCACATCACTTTGTCTGTTCCAGGCTTCAAAGAAGTCCCAGAACCGTTGGTACATGTTAGCTTTAGTTTCCATGGCCCCTTGCTCCCTTCCAGAGCTTCCATGCTTATTTTGGGGAGATTCTGTACAAGGGACCTGCTTCCTACTGTCCAGGGGAATGGCAAAAAAGAAGTTTGAACAATCGATCAAAATGCGGCCCCAGAAAGGAAGAAAGAAGGGAAAGAATACTAAAGAGAGAGCGGAAGTGGGAAGCCTACTAGCAAATGTCAAGTAAGCCAAGTTTCCTTGTCTTCCACTTAGAGGGGATAGACAGTTTTGGGGAAGAGGAATAGATTAATTAAAATAAGCATTCTAATCGAAACTATTGCAAACGAGGGAGTCGAATAGCAAAACAGGCAACACTGCACGTCTGAGTTACCGATTTTGCTTGCAATAGGAGAGTTTAAGGTATGTCCTAGAAGATTTTTCAGAGCTATTTAATATGTCAAGAGAATGTTCAGAACCATATCGAATATTTGAAGCCAATTTTTTTTTATAAATGGCTAGAATTTGGGATATATCGACTCTGTCTATAAACACAACTACAAATGCAACTCCATTAGATCACTTCTATTTTCATTTAATCATATTCTTTCCCACCAGAAACTTTTAAAAAAAAAAGGTGTTTTGTAGTTTTTCCTCTCAATGCTTTTGAAAGGCACAAGATAACTGGCCTTTCTCCGACAAAAGTCCTTTCAAATTCTGGATTCCTGCGCTGGACAAGATCAATTCGAATTCACAGGCTTAGAACAAAATGTTCAACGAGTAAGAATCTCAGGGAGATTAAAATTTAGAAATGACAATTCCTTCTCCCAACACAGGCACCCCAAAAATACCCACTGGGGCCTTTACTGGGAAATACCTTCCAAAATGTGGCGTTGGGAGCAGGGAGCAGCAGAGGAACAAGAGTAGAAGGCCCCAAACCGATTGAGAGCTGGTACTGATGGAAGATGGGCGCCCCCGCCCCTTTCTAGGCTAGCAGACCACCCCATTCAATGCAGTTACTCCGCCTCCACAAACACTCCCCCCGATTCCCTACTAGGGGCTGGAAAAGCAGGGTTGTTCAGAGGTCCTCCTCTCCACCAAAGTTACTCTACTACAAAGGCATCTAAGAACCCCTACCCCTGAATCCCACCTAATTTTTCCCATTTTTGGTAGAGTCTATTGTAGAATCGGTCGTTTTTCCACACTATGTAATTTTTATCTTAAAAACAAATGTCTTTCTCCCACCGCAAACACCCAGAATTCCAGACACTTATTAGTAGTAAGGGTGGTGGTGGTGGTGAAGGGGACAAGAGATTAGGAACCGACTTGTGTTCCGTAGGGAGACATTGAGGATTCAATTTTTTTTTTAAACATCGCTTTTTGTGTCCCTCCATTTACTGGGAACTAACCTAATTTTTTCAGAGGTAGCCAAAGATATCGAAGGAGATGGTTCCTACAGAAAATTCCGGTCCTAGTAAGCACAGGTTTCACTGCTGTCTCTTAAAAAAAATCCCTTTAGGTTGGGAGAAAGGAAGATAAAGAAACTGGTTTAGGGGTCCAAGGAAGAGAAACATTCTATGAGGTATTTGAGGAGACACGCTGCGCTATGTTCCTTTGCCTTTTAAGACAACTCTATTGAAAAAAAAAAAAAGAAACAAGCATGGATTGTGTGCTTGGTACTGGGAGAGGTGCAGATTTTAACTGACAGGTCGCTGCCCTAAACGCTTAGACAATTAATTGCCCTGCTGCTCTGTACTTAGGTCGGGAAGCAGCTAGTTGAGTAGCAAGATGTCTACACACCCCTTCACCCACATCTATACCCTGCCCCCCGAAAAATGCCCTAATCGGCCTTTCCCAATCCCAGGCTCTTTATGTCCATCACCTCTCATTCCAAGTCGTACACTGATTAGACCAGGGATGGACTAGCACAGTGCCCAGTACATAGTAGATACTAAATAAATGCTTTTTTGAATCGGAGTTTCTAATAACTCCCAAGAAAGGGATCCGCTGTCTTTGCTTTCCTTTCCTCCTTAATAAGCAGGGAGAAACTGGTTAGTATTTGATGATTTGATACCTAATATTTGCCTGGAAGTCTAACTTTTGCGATTTATACTTTCCTACAAATCTAAAAAAAAAAAGTGTCTGCATGCCAAGTTTACAGCAAAGCTTGGAATGATGCAGTGCTGGCCGACGTTTCGTCCCCCAGCCACAGACAGCTGCTCCCTGGCGGCAGGAGCCTTCCAAGTGCCCTATACCTTCTGCAATTTATCGGCCCTAAAAACCTTCCTTGCCTTAAGTACGAAATGGCGCTTCTCCGATCTACGGACCTTTTCTTCGGAGAAGCCCTCGGATTCACTTCCTTAAAATAAAATCGGAAAAGAGGGTCGGGCTAGGTCCGCTGAGGATGAACTCCTGAGAGCTCTTGCCTCTTTTATCCGGGGCACAATCCTCGCCTCGCGGTCTTCGCACCCGAGGCGGGCACGAACCACAGAGAGATTGAATCCCGCTTCTCCCTGCCGGGTGCGAGGCGTCTGCTGGGGCCCCTCCGGGGGAATCGGGCTGCCGCACCGAGAGCCAAGGCAACAGCCACACCTCTGGGTTTGGGCAGAGTTTCTTTCCAATTTAACCTGATCTCGGACCCACACACAAAACAACGCAAACACGGAATCACGGGCTCCTTCCAGTCGCAAGAGGTCTGCCCTCTCACCACCATCCGTACAGGTGGAGGGTTCTGGAAGAAAAGGTCCAAGACGAAAGTGGGGGACAAAAAACAGTAAAGCGCTCGAGGGAAAACTTCCTTCAAACAGGTGTGCGCTCCAGCCCCGGCCCGCTGAGCCCGGAGGGGGCGAACGGGCTGAGGTCCCAATGCGCCTACCCTGCGGCGGGACAGCCGGACCTACTGACTCCAGGGCTACGGCCTTTCCCCACCAGGCTGTTGACTAATGTCTGCCCAAAAGTGCTGCCAAACTGCGAGCCGCTCTCCTTGTCTCATTCAGCCGTCCCTTACCCCACACAGACCCCAGTGCAGGGTGGAAAGAGCTGGCCCTGGGCTCCCACCACCTTCACCTAATCACCCACAGATTTGTGGCAGGTTAGGTGTGCATGATTCAGGGACAGAGAGACTTTGGAACAGCGACATCCAAGATAACCTAGGTTGGAAGACTCCAGGCCCACCCTTGTTTCTCATTCCCCTCGGAAAGTCAGCCCAGACTGGTCTCGACTCTGAATCGTTTCACTTGGGAATCTACTCCTCTCCTTCCCAATCTTTTCCCGGGCCAGTAAGGAGGGAAACCTGGGGCCGCTGCCCCAGCCTAGGCCCTCCGGCGCTTGAGCGTTCGGCGCCGCTCCCTGTGAGCAGTTAAAGACACATACTTGCCAATCGAGTCTCCCCAGCAGAGCCATTCAGCCTCCCAGTGGGGAGTCGAACTCCTGCAGCAGCTGTCGCTTTAACTGGTCGACCTGCCACTGCCAGAACCCCACACCTGGGAGCCAGGGCCGCCCTCCAGGTGCGCATGCGTGCATAGAGCCCTTTTCCCCACCCCCAACCGCTATCTCCCACCATCCCTAAGAACAACAACATGCACACCCAGCCACACCCAACCCACTGACCCACCTGCACCTATCTGGGTTAAATTTTAAGATACTCAATTAAGGTTCACATTTACATCTACGGGATATGCACAGACACCACCTTTTGTGCATGCGGCCCTGTCCACATGCACAAGTATTGAAGTACACACGTTTACTTGAGAATATAGACAGACCCACTAAATCACCAGAAACATACATGCACAACCACATTTACTCAGTATGTAATTGCATGATTTGGGAGCAGCTGGGTGGTGCAGTCGATAGAGTGTTGAGCCTGGAGTCAGGAAGACCTGTGTTCAAATCCGGCCTCAGATACATACTAGCTGTGTGACCCTGGGCAAGTCACTCAACCCTGTTTACCTCAGTTCCTCATCTGTAAAATGAGCAGAAGGAAATGGCAAACCACTCCAGTATCTTTGCCAAGAAAACCCCCAAATGGAGTCATGGAGAGTCAGACACGACTACAACTACTGAACAGCAACAATTACATGATTAGAGGTATATTTATATAGTATGTAATCTACTGGAGCCTACACAGTTGGAAGTCAGGAGATGGTCAGTGATCATAGTTAAGGTCCTTTATCTCTTTAGTATTCAAGTTTCTTCATCCCTAAAATGAGAATACAGTAATAAGTCTTTCATTATCTACTTTTTAGTGTTGTAGGGGAAAGTGCTTTGTAAACTGTAAGAGGCTTATTGAAATATGAGCACCACTGCACAATTATCTCAAGTGTGTATGTTGTCACACGTTTATCC